GGGGCGCCAGCTGGGCACGCAGGGGAGCCCGCGGGACCCGAGCCGACCGTCCACCCGCCCGAGAGCTCGCTAGGGGACACTGAGGCTCGGCTGGTGGCCAGGGCAGGACTGGAAACCAGTGTAAGTTGCGGGCGGGATTCAGCGCTGTCGCCTTAGATAAGACTTTCCAGGCCCTGCCCGCCCAGACCCTGCTCTAAGCCCGGAAGGGGTGTCCCAAAGCCATGGCCGCAGGGCACCCCTGGTGGGGCGGAGCCTCGAGGAGGCATGTGGGACAGCGCCGGAGATCCGCTGCAGCGAAGGGACCAGGCCGGTGCAGTCGGTGACAGTGGGCCCACAGTGGGCTATCACTGCACTGGGGCTAGCGACCAAGCCGCCTGCTGGACTTACCCCGTGGCACGTGTCACCTCTTGTCTGACATTGGAACTCCCAGGGCCAGGGCTGCCCTCCCGTTTTACCGTCCCTCTCCCTCCAGGAGCTGGTGGCTATAAATGGCGTCACTAACTGTTTGGGACTAGCCCCCGGGTGACATGTGTTAGTAAATGTGATAATAATTGGGTCCGTGTAATTGCTTCTGTTAGAAGGTCATCGGAATGGTGAGGGACTCTGGGTCTCTGAAGGGAAGGTGTCTGAGACTGAGCTGTCTGGGAGAACATCCTGGAGGAGGCAGACCTGCAGGGAGAGGGGTGCAGAAACAGTGTCCAGCCACTGTTCGGAGTTGAAATGAGATGAGGCTGGGCCGGCCCGCAGGGCTTCGCCTGTTCAAGCTATTCCATACCCTGTGACGGAGGGTCAGCGTGGGAAACGACTTCCTACTGGCGGACCTCTTGGTGACACTGAGGCTGGGCCTAGCTGAGTAAGAGTGAGCCTGGGCGATGGGAGTGGAGCAGTGGCCAGCCGTGACGTCAACCATCGTGTGAGCAGAGCGCCCTGCAGGAGGGAGTAAGCCGGGGGCTGGAAGCTGCCTGTGTGCCCCGACCCAGGCCACGGCAGTGTTCCCCAGCCCTCCTCTTTAGGGGTGCGGGCTCCCTCCACACCTTAGCTGCCTTTGTAGTTTCTCGAGGGGCTCAGATTCCCAGTGAGGGTCAAACCCCCCTCCGCCTGCCGTGTGGGCCCGTGTAGTGCTGGCTTTCGGCCCATCTAGCCCATGGGCCTTCCACCTGCACCCAGAGCCTTTTGGCAGCCAGAGAAGAGCTCAGAGGCAGAGGCTCACGGCTGTCAGCAAGCAGCTGCCTGTCCCTGGTGGGACACTGACAGCAAGAAAGGGGGGGGGGGCAGGCACTTATTACAGTCTGGGCCCCCTTGCCCAGAATTCTCGGGCCCAAAATTATCCGGAATGTCAGGCTGGTGCAGAATTGGGAGTATCTGCATATACAGAGTAAGACGTCTTAGGGAGGAGTCCTAGCTGAGCAGGAGCTCCGCGCTCCGTGGGCGTTCCGTGCGCAGCCCGGAGGCTGCAGAGCTGTGCTGTGTCCAGCACACGCGGTCTGGCCTGGAGTTTGCTATTGGTGGCATTGTGCGGGTACTTTAAGAATTTCGGATTTTGGAGCACTTTTGATTTGGGATTTTTAGGTGAGTAACGCCTAACCTGTCTACCAATGTGGATGATCTGTAAGATATTTTCTAAAAGACATCTCCGTTTCCGGGAAGTCGCGAACCTGTGTGCAGCCGTGTGCTGCAGTGCATCCGGCGCCTGCACCACGTGCCCAGAGCCTGTCCCCGAGGTGGACTCAGCTTATGGATTTTCTGCCTACCTGGAGGCTGGTCTTAGGTTTCCCGGCTCCAGGAGAAACTGCATATGCAGATTTTGCAGAGTTTTCTGGTACTGCCCCAATTTAGTAATTCAAGAATATTTGTTGCCTAAAAGGGCCTTTCTAAAGTTGGATTGGAGGAGGGGAGTCCCCCACTAAAGAAAGGACTAGTAGTCGGTAATCGAGGGTCTTAGGTGAAGGCAGCAACACCCCTGGCCGGGCTGGTGGCCTGAGCATTCCCCGATGGCTCCTCTGGGTCTCCGCAGAGCAGGTGCAGCCAGGCGTGGCCCAGGGTGCTGTGTGCACCATGTGGGCTGCTTGGTTCTGCTGCAGGGCCGGGAGGACTCAGTTCAACCCTCGTGCTACGCCGTGCTACTCTGGTTTGGGGCTTTTGTGAGCGCAGAGCATCCTGGCTTCCTGGGCCTGTTCTGGGGTGGTTCTAGCTCCAGGGCCAAGGCCGAGGGTCTAACTGCAGCAGGCATGTGCTGTGGCCCATGGCCATGAGTACAGGCCCGCCTCGCCATGTTAATAACTCACAGCCCTTTGTTGGCACAGGTGTCTCCAAACAGGACATCCGGGAGCAAATGTGGGACTACATGGAGTCACAGAACTTAGCCGACTTCCCCCGGCCTGTTCATCACAGGATCCCCAACTTTAAGGTACGGGACCATTCCTGGAGTATTTGAACGCCCTGCTCCGTGGGGCTCGAACTGGCAAACAGTGGCGGTGTGGAGCCAGAAGCACCTGGCTGGGGCTCTGGCGTCCAGCGACGGCTCGTCCTGTCCCTTCCGTGCCCTTGCTCAGCGGGGTCTTCCCTAGCATGTGGTACCGAGGGATTTTCTGTCTGGTACAAAATGGAGCAGTTACCCTCCCTGGGGGCATGGGTGCTGGTGATGTCTGTTCACAGAGCCGGCACCCCAAGGGATGGCGTGGGCACTCTGGGAGGGAGACCAGCTGCCAGTGGCTCTGGAAAGCACGTACAGACTTGCTGTCTCCGACACCTCTGGCCTCTGCTTCCGGCCGTTCAGAGCCTAAGACATGAGAGCGCGTCACAGAGCAGAGCTTGCTTTAAGGAGGTGACATACGGCGCATGCCCCTTACACAGACACGCTCTCCGCAGAGGCACTGTGGCTTTTGACTGAGCTCCCCGGGCCTGGTTCCCCGAGACAAGCTGTCGCCCTCTGCCTGGTCCAGGCTCGGCCAGCGCACAGCCGTCCTGGGGCGGCTTTCATTGCTGCACTCTGTGTCAGCGCCTGCTACCCCAGGGAGAGATGCGCGTGCAGTGCAGGGAACGAGGGATGCATGGAATTGCTTTAAAGTCTTCCAGAAGGAGCTCCCGGGAGGGGTGGGCCCCCGGCTTTGCTGCGCTCGGGCGTGCTGGTCCTGGCAAGGTCTGTCAGCGTGGGCCCCCAGTGCCCGTTCTCTGGGAGCATGCTTCCTCCCAGTGAAGACCAGCCTGGACAGGCTCGCTTCATCAGACCCCTTTCACCCCGATTCCCTTCTCACGTCACTTAGAACTAGCGCCCCTGCCTGCCTGGGGGGTGTCGACCCGAGGTTGCGCTGTCCTCTCAGTAGTACTTGCATTCAAAACAGGGTGCATCTCGGGCAGCGGAGCACTTCCCAGGTCTGCAGGTGTTCAAAGCAGCCAGAACCGTCAAAGTCAACCCCGACGCGCCCCAGAGAAATGTGCGCTTCTTGGTCCTCAGCGTAAGTGCATCTCTGTCTGTCTGCCTCCGCAGGGGTCTCACCTGGCTTGCCAAAGCATCAAAGGCCTGGATGTTTTTGCCAGAGCGTGGGGAGTTAAAGTGGACCCAGATAAACCGCTGGAAGGTGTCCGGCTGCTGGCGCTGCAGGTAATCCCACCTCCCGGAGCGGGCCAGCCGCTGGGAGGCTTCCTGTGGGAGGCCGGAGCCAGCGTACCTGTGACTCGGCACGACGGTGCTGCTGGCCCTCCACCGCGGCTGGTCCTTGGAGCGGCTTTCTCCAGAGCCGTCCACACGTCCCCCTGGCTCGGCGCTGTCAGTCAGAGGCCTGAGGAGGTTTCTGGGTGTTCGAGGGTGATAAAAGATGGTCATAGCAGCGGCCCCAGACAGCCGCAGTTCTGATGCCCCCGCCAGCGGGCAGCCTGCGGTGCGTGCATTTCTCCTCGCTGTGGCTGCGACATCATAATTCGAAATGTGGTGGCTCACAAGTAAGAAGCCCCACAAGGAGCCAGCAGGTGACATGGTGGCTGAGGCGCTGGACTCCCACAGGACCGACTGTGGCTCAAGTCCCGGGCCTGGCGTCTGGCCTTCTCACTTTCTCTGTGTCTCTCGTTCTGGTGAGCTCATATGCCCCACAGCAAAGCTAAGTAACAATCATCGTTGTCATTTATCTTAAAAATACATCATTCTTTTTAAAAAAAGAAATGCCACACGTGTCCCCAAAGCATGTATCAGGCCACCGGAAAAGTCAGGACATAGTGTTCAATGCCCAAATGCATCGTGCCTTTCCTGACAGCCCGTAAACCAGAGCCTTGTTTCTCAATATATAGGCCCCTTTTCAAGGGAAAGAAAACCAGAATTGTCCCCAGGTTGATTTAATTTATTATAATCACCATGTTGTATTACTCTGATGTAGTCACCATGGCAAGGTGAATACAGCAAGTCCTTGAAGGAGAAAGGGAGAGACGTAGGGACCTGCTCGGGTCCTGGGATTAGCCGAGCAGGGGATTACTCTCTGCCGGGTGGGCTCTTCCAGAAGCTGGTTTGTCGTTGACCCCATTTCCCAGCCACGCAGCCACCTCAGTGGCCGAGAGGGGGAAACAGCAAGAGCAGCAGCGAAGGACAGGGCTGGCTGTCCCACAGCATGGAGTTTCAGGTGGACACGGGATCCAAAGCGGTGTCGGCCACGTGGTGTCCAGGCCAGGCCTCACAATCTGCCCTTCCATAACCCACAGAGCTGTCCTAGCTGGTGGTCTTCACAGTGGACGTGTGCCAGGGTCTCGGGGGGCTCAGCGGAGCCCTGACTGTCGTTCACCTCCAGCAAGGCCCCAGAGTGGCTGGCGCTGCTGGCCCTCGGAGAGGGCCTCACTCTGAGGGCCCTGGCCTAGGGCTCAGCAAGGCACTGAGAGCCGGGCAGGAGGAGGGCAGCGCGGCCTGCAGCAGTCTGAACTAGCCACAGTGGTTGCCACGCTTGGACACGCAGCTTCCAGCAGCAGACTGGGTGGAGGGCTGGCACAGCGGTGCTGTTACTGCACTCGTGCCCTCCCCGCCGCGCTGCCTCCCGTGGGCATCGTAACTGCGCAGTGCTAGTGCCGACCACAGCGGGGCCAGGAGCCTGTGGTGGGACTTTCTGTGAGAACAGGCCCGACTCTGCGTCCACACTGTGTGTTTCTACCTGAGAGGATTCTGAACGGTAGATCCAGGCTAGCAGAGGCCCCACTTCTTATAGCAGGGCCGTGCAGAGGGCGAGTCTGTGCAGGAGCCACCCTGCGAGTTCTTCAGCTGGGTCTGCTAACAAGTCGTTTCCTTGGCTTATCTCAAAAAATATAGAAATTGTAACTTGCTCCCCTTCCTGAAATAGTAGAAACATATACTAGAGGGGCCAGCAGGTGGCATGGTGGTGAAGGTGCTGGACTCCCATGTGGCCGACCGTGGTTCAAGTCCTGGATCTGGCAGCTCACTTTCTCACTTCCTCCCCTTCGCTCGCACTCTATCCCTCTCTGGTCAAATTGAAATATAAGTGAATAAATAAAGTTAAGTAAAATAATTTTTAAAAAAATATACAAGAAAGTCTTGGGTAAACATTTAATTTTATAATTTATTGATTGTCTTTTATTTCAAAGAGCAAAAAAACATTGTTGGTTCCGACACCGCGACTGAGATCGGGGTTGTTTAACAAGATCACACCACCCCCCGGGGCAACCAAAGAGGTTCTGAGGAGATGCGCCACTTCCCAGGTGAGTGCCGAGGGAAGGACTGGTCCCCGTGCAGCTGGGGCGGCGCTGATGGCATCGTGAGGGCACAGGTGTGTGGCGGAGCCAGGGCGGCAGAGGCGTGGGTGGTCGCACTCCTGCCATCGAGGGAGCCGAGCTGGAGCAGGCCGTCCGGGGCCCTCTCCGTAACTCAGTCCCTGTTTCACACCCATTAGCAAAGTGTTAAGGCTTATGGAAGAAGAGGCAGGACGTGTTGTCAGGCCCTTGGGCCCCGGGCTAGCTCGTTCCATCTTCAGGACTGGATCCCAGCTAAGGTTCAAACACTGGCCCTGGTGGCTGGCTGGGTGGGACCCAAGATCCTGCAAGGATGGAGAAATGGAGGGAGAAGGATTATAGTGTGCCCTGCCCCACTGGGAGGCGCGCTCTCTCTCTCTCTCTCTCTCTCTCTCTCTCTGGTGAGTGCATGTACCCTCTGGCAGTTAGGAAAAAGTGACTGTCTTAGCATTTCTTTATTGACACCTGTCTCATTCTAAATGTCTGCTGTGACCTGCAGAAATGCACACGCGGGCTGGCAGACATGGTAGCCGGGTGGGCCCCACGTGGTCAGCTGTACAGTTTGGACCCCAAAATCTCGGGAGGAGACCAGAAGAGTAAGGATTGCAGCATGGCTCTTCTGTGGCCACCGGGAGGTTAAGGACATGCAGGCACTGCTGCAGGTGGGGCGTGTGACCCCTACATGGAGCCCATGTGCGGATCTGATGAGGGACCCTCCTATCCCTGGGGTGGAGACAGGGCTTAGTGCCACAGCGAGAGTCTGCAGGGCCTGAAAGTGGCAGCTAGGTTTACCTGGGGACTGTGGTATAAGAAGCATGAACATCCCCCCCCGCCCCCATTCTTCAAATACGGCCTCCGTCAGGTGGTGCAAGTCCATGTACTTCTGATCTATTTGATGACTGAGTGATATTTTAGAAGTGAGTTTGCAGTCCTTAGAAATAATGATCTCGGGACCAGCAGTTAGTGTAACGGCTATGTCGCTGGACTCCCATGTAGTCGACCGCGGTTTGAGTCCTGGATCCGGTAGCTTAGAACTCACACCGGGCGCGCGTGCGTGCATGCACAAGATCCCGAGAGGAGAATGGAGGAGAAGGGATTGCGGCGTGGCCATCCCCCCTGGGAGGTGATTTCTTGCCTTCTGTCTCTCTTTCTGGCAAGCACACGCGCCCTATAGCAAAAAGAAACTCTCAAAAAAAACAAAAAAGATGTCTAGCAGTTTACTTGGGGTAGTAGGCGGGCAGCGCAGCTGGCGATGGCGCGTGGGCTGAATGCGCGATGCCGTTGGCAGCTTTAATTCCAGCACCGCTTGGGGAGGCAGGGGACGGTGTTCCTGCCTTACGGGCAAGGAAACCGAGGCTTGGCACCCCGACCTGCTGAGGGCCAGCTCTGGGAGCACTGAGCCCAGTCCCTGTGACTCCTCGGTGCGGCCCACTCTGCTTCTCCCCTGCAGAAAAAGTGATTTGCTAAGTGTGATGGAATTAGCGTCCCATGGACTGGTTCTGCTGGCTCCTCCGGGAAGGAGGGTGGTGTCTGGGCCCCCGGCCGTGTGGCATGGTGGTGCCTGTCCCAGCAGACTCCCACTCTGAGTGCTTTTGCTCATGAAGTTTGAAGCAGCTTTCAAATCATGTGTCTGTTTGTAGGGTGTGAGGAGCTACAGTGTCCCCATAGGCCTGGATTCCAAAGTCTGTGTGGACTTAGTTGTGGTGGGATCCGTCGCTGTCTCTGAAAAAGGTGAGATGAAAAAGCAGGAGCTCCGCTGCGACGGCTCTGGCGGCAGCTGCGCTGCAAGCCCGTTCTGGCCTTGGGGAGTCGGTGGGCATTTGTGCACGCCAGCTGTCACCGGCCTGCAGAGTGCCCCAGCGTGTCATCCATGCTGCAGCGCAGCCTGCTCCCTCCCCTCCCGGCCGGCACCTTCAGCACTCTCACTTTTCTAGGCAGGCAGATGGGGTGAGGAAGCTGTGCCTCTTCAGGTGGTGGGAGCTGCCCTCTGTCCTTGAGGCCCCTGGAAGTGAGCAGGGTTGACTTACATCTGCCAGTAAGTGGCTGCTTTGGGAGGGACGCCAGCGGGGGAAAGCATGAGGCTCCAACCCTGGTTTGCAGTTCCTGAACAGCACTGTGTGTCTCTGAGACTGAGTGGCCTGCTGCTGTGCCTCGGAGGCAGGTGGGCGGCTGCTCTGGTCCCCACGGTCCTTATGTGCAGAGGTAGGGCGTCACCTGTAGGGGGCGCTCTTCCCAGCCCTTGCTGGAGCTGCTAGGCGGGACGCTGCAGCTCTTTGTTCCTTGCTGTTAGGGCGCTCCCAGCTCCAGAGGCTCTGTCTGTGTCCTCAGGATTGCTCCACATAAGCCCCCATCCGTGTGCCTGCCTTCTGCCAGGCGGGTGCTGGGCGGTCTCCACTCTGGTGTGCAGGGGTGGACAGGACAGACTCTGGGCTGGGTCACCATGGGGCTTGCTCCTGGCTAGAGACAAATGGGGTAAGAGGAAGGAGCCACCAGCCCTGAGCAGGTCATCGCCTTAGTGTGGATGCGGGCCTGGTCGTCGGAGCGGGTGGGCGAGGGCGCTCGGGCAGAAGCCGCAGTGTGTCCTGTAGCGTGGCCCTGTGGTGGGTTGGGGCTGGCTTCTCGGGGGCCTTGAGGGCAGCAGGCAGGGTTTGGGCTGGACTCCTGGCAGTAGGGCTTAGCAAAGGTCTTCTCTTTAAAAGGGTCATCAGGAGTTTCCTTTTAGTTCACAGCTGTGTGAAGATGAAGACGCTTGTTGGCATCACAGCCAGCCCACAGCCGTGCACGTGTTCAGAGAGCCAGACAGCCCGGGCAGCTCTGCCCGTGCCCCGCCCTGCCCTGCCCCAGCGCAGCTGTGCAGACACCTGGGCCGGTCCTGTGCGGCCTGGGGCTCCCAAAGGTCCCAGGAGCAGCCTGTGCGCTTCTCCTTCCGTGGCAGGAGGACAGGACCTGCACTGCTCTGTACCTTGGTGGCCAGGGCTCAGCGTGCATTTCCGGTCAGCGCAGCTGGGTCGCCCTCTGCCCCCGCAGGTCGAATAGCCGTGCTCAGTCCTCATGTGGATGTTCCAGGGCCACTCCACCAGGCCCTGGCTGAGGGAGCACATGGTCTTTGCAAGGTTTGGCTGGGTTTCCCTCACAGGTGAGCTGAGAGTGCGTTGTAGTCTTGTGGGCTGGGCTGGTTTGCTGTCCAGGCTCTCCATGGGTCGTCCCTGAGGGGTGGGGGTTTACCCCTGATAGGCATCGCCACATCAACTCCAGGAGGGTGGTCAGGTGGCCCCGACCACGAGCGGCTCCCACGTGTGCGAAGCAGTCCCGCAGCAGACAGGAGCACCTCCTTACCTTTACGGTGCTGGTCGTAGCAGCGCCGGGCCCCCCTCGTGTTGGCGCTCAGTGCCTGCTTTGCCGTGGTGTTCGCGTCCTGGGCCGTGTTCCTGTTGAGTTGTCTTGCTCTTCTTCTTGGCGTGCACAGTAGGGGTCTGCATTGTGAAAGAGCACGGCTGGATCTGAACACGAGGAAGGCAGGGTGGCAGTGAGGCATGTCCCCCGGGCACTGGTGGTGAAACGTGGAGGCTGTGTCTGCACTGGCCCGAGTGTCCTGCTGAGGGCATGTGGGGCTCCCGCTGGGAGCTGGCCACGCTTCCTGTTCACTGTGGCTGCGTTCTTGCCTCCAGAGAGGCTGTCAAACCCAGTTTGATCTCAGCCTCTCGGCTGGCTTCCAGCCTCCTTCCCCATGCCGCCCTCCGAGCTTCCGCAGTGTTTCTTAAGCCTCCCTCCTCCGGACATGAGGTCGAACTGGGTAGCTCGTCCGAGCCTTTCGGAAGACACGACTGTGTCACCTCCAGTCATGTCCCTGTCTCTGGAGTCTTCCCTTCCCTCTGAGGGAAACAGGTTACAAGCATTTTGCTTCCGGTAGGAATCTGTCTTCGTCTTCAACACCACTCTTCATTTCGGACCTGAGTCCTGCTGGTGTGAACGCGCACAGATGCCCGCGCCAGCCCCTCGGTGGCATGCTCAGCGTGCTCTTCGTGTTTTAACCACGGCGGTTTTCAGTGCTCCCATTCGCTCGTGAGACCTGAGAGCCCTTCTCCGTAGGCTCCCCTGGAAATGTCTGCCGACAGCGAGGCTGGTTGTGCCCGCTTCTACCGAGACCTGTTAGAGAACCCTCTCCTCCAGCTGAGCCTGGGCCTGGCGGTGCAGGGAGCTGGCTCCCACACGGCCGACCATGGTTCTCATCCCAGCCCTGGTGGCTCAAAAACAGCAGGCACAGGTGCACATGTCCAAACTCCCGACGGGGTGGAGAAACGGAGCGAGGGGACCGCGGTGCTGTCCAGCTGGGACCTGCCTC